AGGAGTGGGGAATCAAACCTGGTTCTCCCAGATTAGAGTCCGCACACTTAACCACTACACCAAACTGGCATAGCTAGTGTTGGCCGATCAGGACTGATGGTCTCCCATCCACTTTCATGTTCCTGCACAGCTGAAAAGTTCAGAATGTTCCTGTGTGGGTTGGGAAATTCTGGAGGTTTGGAGGTGGAGCCTGGGATGAGCGGGGTTTAGGGAGGGGAGGGGCCTCCGTGAGCTATAATGCCACCGAGTCCGCCCTCCGAAGCAGCCATTTTCTCCGGGGGAACTGATCTGTGTTGTCTGAAGATCAGCTGGAATTCCAGGAGATCCCGAGGCCCCCATTTGGCGGTTGGCGGCCCTATTGTGAGACAAGCTTCTGAGCTCATAGACTCATAGAGTTGGAAGGGACCTCCAGGGTCATCTAGTCCAACCTTGCCTGTGCCCGCCCCCTGGGCTCTTTACTGCCGGAGCTCCGCTCCTGTGTGCTTCTGCAGGAAATGACTCCTGAATTTATGCAAGACGTAGTCCATTGGCTTTACCTTTTCAGAGCATTGGGTCTCCGCTTAGAAGCACTAACGCTTTCCCACCCCCCTCTTTTCTTTTTACAGGCAAGGAATTCCGCTTAATTATCCTGAGCACCGTCCACACCAGGGAGAGCCTCCTGAATTTATGCAAGACGTAGTCCATTGGCTTTACCTTTTCAGAGCATTGGGTCTCCGCTTAGAAGCACTAACGCTTTCCCACCCCCCTCTTTTCTTTTTACAGGCAAGGAATTCCGCTTAATTATCCTGAGCACCGTCCACACCAGGGAGAGCCTCAGTAGCATCAGCTCCCCCAACCTGGACTTCTTCAACAACGCACGGGTGCTGAATACGATCATGACGAGGGCTCAGTCTCAGGTCATTGCCGTGGGGGACGCAGTGGCCTTGTGCTCTTACGGCCAATGCAGCAAGGTCTGGAAAGGCTTCATCAAGGAGTGCATAGAGAAGGGGACGGTGACTCCCAGGACCCTGATGCTGGAGGAGATACGGCAAGCAGTGTGTGACCGGGCCAGCTGGAACGGGGCTAGCCCCGAGTCCGAAGAAGCAGAGGAAGAAGGAAGTGACACCAGTTCCTGGTTTTCGAGCTCGGAGAGCTTGAATGTCGACGATCCCATCTTGCAGGAGCTCTTGGACGAGAGCACGGACGCCGTGGTGACAGTCTCCAATGAAGGGCTGCTAAATGTGGGGTCCGAGGCACCCACGGCCCGAAGCGGCATCCGGGAATACGTCAGCTTCCCGCAGGAAATCATGCAGAACTACCTGCGCATGCAGCCCAGTTTGTACAAGCGCTGCGAGTTCATCAAGGAGGGCTTTGATCGGGCGTCCGCCTTCACTCTGGACAACGACCCTCCCCTGGCTATCCAGATCAAAGGCAGGGTTCACTGCGGAATGGCTTTCACGGGGGACCAGGTCTTGGTGGAGATCCTGTCGAACAACGCGGCGGCCTCTAACCCCGAAGGGGGTTTGCACGGGAAGGTGGTCGGCGTGCTGAAGAAGGCCGAGTGGGAACGTACCTTTGTATGCATGATGGACGAGTTTGATCCTCGCGTCATGATCCCCATTGACCACACGGTCACAAAGATCTTTGTCCCGGGGCTGAAAGGCTCCCCCGACGTCCTCCCCATCCGCCGAACGGACAAAGCCGGGAGGATCCAGCTGGTGAAACGCGAGAAGATATCACAGGAACTCAAGAAGAAAAGTCTTTTTGTTGTCGAAGTCCTCAGCTGGCGGGAAGGCTTTTACTACCCTCTGGGGATCGTTACGGAACGGCTGCCGATGGCGTCGACTCTAGAGGAAGGGCTGCGGATCCTCGGCATAGAGTACTGTCTCAAAAACCAGTTCTCGGCCTCTGTGAATAAGGAGGTGGCCAAACTCACCTCTGGAAAGTTTACGTCGGTGAAAAGCGGGCGGAAAGACTGCCGGGAGTACCTTACCTTCACAGTTGACCCCACAGGTGCTAAAGACCTGGATGATGCCATCAGTATCAGAGACTTGGGTGATAATTACGAGATCGGGGTCCACATCGCCGACATGGCATCCGTGGTCCCCAAAGGCTGTGCTCTGGATACAGAAGCCAAGAACCGGGGGTCTACTTTTTATGCTCCTGGGGCGGAACCAGTGTGCATGTTCCCACCTCAGCTAAGTCAAGACTTCTGCAGTCTCCTTCCGCAGAAAGACCGGCCCGTGATCTCTCTCTTTGTCTTGGTGAGCAAGGAGTCGGACGAGGTGGTGGAAGTTCTGTTTAACGTGTCCACCATCCGCTCGGATCGGCAGCTGACCTATGAGGAGGCCGAAGGGATCATCCACAGCTGTTACAGAACAGAAGCCCCGTCACTTTGTTTTAACACCCTGGAGCACTGTGTCGCGGTCGCGTACCACTTCTCCCGAGCTCACCGGTTAGCCAGGCTCCATGAAGACTGTTACTATCATCAACTGGACGAAGATAGCTCTCTGGGCCAAAGATGTTCTCACCAGATGGTGGAGGAATTCATGATCATGTTCAACAGCTTTGTGGGAGAATTCCTCACCACTAGGGATCCCACCGGAAAATTAACACCTCTGCGGTGTCAGAGCGAGCCCAGCCCACAGCAGATTACTCAAATGAGCAACAAGTACAAAGATATCATCCCTCTGTCCATCCACCTCTCACACCATCTGGGAGCTCAAACCACTGGAGACCCCCTGGAGACTGGTAGCGAGTTTGTTCTCCTGACTCCATTGTGGGATCATCTCAGGTCAGCCGCGGGTGCCCGTGATTTCCCCAAGATGCTTGACCTGATCACAACAGATGACATCCACCCTAAACTGGTGCCTGTGAACTTGGAGTTCCGGAAACTCCTGAGCCGTTCCTATTTTGTGTGCTCCAACTCGTCCGCCCAGTCAAAAGTGGGCCACTACTCCCTGCACGTGGACACTTACACGTGGGCTTCCTCTCCCATCCGACGCTATGTGGACGTTGTGGTCCAGCGACACCTTCTTTCTGTGCTGTTGAAGAGCCCAGTCCTGTACTCCTCAACGGAGATCGAGCTCCTTTGTCACGATTTCACCTGGAAGAATGGAATGGCGGCGGCCTATGAGAAGAAGGCCCACTCTTTGGAGATGGCGGCTCAGTTGAAGCGTCAGGTCCAGCAGAAGTTTGCTTTCGTGATGAACGTCGAGGAGATGGCCAAGAACTGCAAGGTCTTGTTCCCCCTGAACAAGGACACCCTTCCAGACCCTCATCCCATCAACTACAGAGCTCTACAGTTGGTCGAGCAGCCCGTTTTTATCGCGGAGCGAAACAGTATGACGCTGAGATGGAAGAGGAGAACCTACTCCATCAGCACCAAAAAGGACTGCACCCCCAAGTCGTTGACACTTCGGGACGGTGCCGTCACCCTCTTCAGCATGGAAGTTTGGCGAGATATCCTAGAGGCTGTCAGGAACAAAGATTATGGGATGGCGGCCTGCCTTCTCGAGGAAGGTGGCAGCAAACAGTCGAGAAATGTGGGGAGGATGGCGAGAAGCCGGTGCTCACATTACGTAGAACTGTCCCGGGAGCTCACTGCCGGGGACGTCTTGCACCTCCAGCTCACGACAAGCGTCCATCGGGGTTTCTTGGTGCCGTGCGTACAGCTGTGGGCCGTGGCTCCGGGCTTCGACGTGTGCCTGGAGCACACCGAGAAACCCGTCGAATGCTTTTCCAAGTACGCCGCGCAGGCTTCCAAGAAGAGCTATAAGGATGCCGAGGAGTACCGCAGAGTGTGGCTGCCTCTCTGCGACATGGAGTCGGCTTCGTGCGCCGTGGCGGCAAATGACTCCATCGTCCTTTACGATGTCCCCGTAAACTGGGAGAAGAAGAGGACAAGGGAAGGGAAGCTCCAGGGGACGTTTTCCTTGACCAAACAGTTCCTCAAGGACTGCGCCATTGAAGTCGATTTCCAGAACTGCTACCTGTGCATCCGCCTCGAAGGCCTGAAGCGCAGCAGAGACCAGGACGACGTGGAGTCCCTTAGCCACAGCCTCCACAACCTCAGTTTGGCCAAGAAGAACGTGGAGACGGACAAATTGATGGTCGATCCGGCAACGTACACTTGGGTGGCCCACGGGCGTACCGACGAGTTTAATGACGACGGTAAATCTGATCGCCGTGATGAAAAGATGGTACAGTTCTACGTCAACTTCATGTCCACGGAAAACATCCCTGTCGAGATCACCCAGAAGGTCTCCCGGTTCACGGTGGAGCTGATTCCAAAGACGCTGCCTGATGTGTAAGTCTTCATAAGCCTTCATAAGAGTCAGTTTGGTGTAGTGGTTAGGAGCGCAGACTCTAATCTGGGAGAACCGGGCTTGATTCCCCCACCCCCCCCCACATGAAGCCATCTGGGTGACCTTGGGTCAGTCACAAGTTCTCTCAGAGCTGTTCTCTCAAGGTCAGTCCTCGAGAGAACTCTCTCAGCCCCACCTACCTCACAGGCAATGCTCCCTCTAAGCTGTGGAGCAAAAGTTCTACTCTCTGTGAGCTACTGGCATTAAAGTTGTGAGCGAGCGATTTGGCTGCTGCATAAATTAGTTTGCCCTGGAGCTGTCCTTCCTGAGCGAAGACAAAAATCTGTAAGCTGGAGGCTAAAAAACTGTGAGGAGGAGGAGATTGGATCTATACCCTGCCCTTCACTCGGAGTCTCAGAGCGGCTGACAAAGTCCTTTCCCTTCCCCTCCCCACAACAGACACCCTGGGAGGTAGGCAGGGTTGAGAGAGCTCTGACAGAAACTGCTCTTTTTTCAAGAACAGCTCTGACAGAACCATGGCTCACACTAACTCAGCTTAGAGGGAACACTGCTCACAGGGTGTCTCTTGTGGGGAGGGGAAAGGAGATGGTAAGCCGCTCCAAGACTTCTTCAGGTAGTGAAGGGCAGGGTATAAATCCAGTCTCCTCCTCCTCCCCCTCCCACAACATGGAATTCACTGCCACAGGAAGTGGTGGCGGCTAGAAGCATGGACGGCTTCAAAAGGGAATTAGATAAGCAAGGCAACATAGTGTACAGTCTCTTCCAAGGTCGATTAGGGTGCCGCCTCCTAACATGGAGGACCTGGCCCCAACACCAGCACCAGCTTAATATCCAATAGCCTGGTGCTTGGGGGGGGGTCAACAGTGGGAGGGCTTCTAATGTCCTGGCCCCACTGCTGGACCTCCTGATGGCACCTGGTATTTCTGGCCACTGTGTGACACAGAGTGTTGGACTGGATGGGCCTTATGTTCTTACAACTACGCCAGATGTAAAATTACCAGCAATCTTGAAAACGAAGTTTGTGTGTGTGTGTCGGGGGGGTCAACGATGACATTCTATTATGTTGGACTGGATGGGCCTTATGTTCTTATGACTACGCCAGATGTAGAATTACCAGCAATCTCGAAAACGAAGTTTGTGTGTGTGTGTGTCGGGGGGGTCAACGACGACATTTTATTATGTTTCTTTCCCCCTTGGGTGGAGGACCAATTTGGGAGAAAATTAAAACATACGTAATACCTTCCTTGTCAGCCAGAAACTTATTTTATCCCTTTTAACATAAAAGTTTAGCCCAGGCTAACCTAATCCCGTCAGAAGGTAAGCTAAGATGGGCAACCACCAAAGGAACTCCAGGGTTGCTACGCAGAGGCAGGCAAGGGCAAACGACTCCCTTCCATCCACTTTTACCGGGCTGGCCCAGGCTGGCCCAACCTCACCAGATCTCGGCCCTGGTTTAGTACTTGGATGGGAGACCGCCAAGGAAGTCATAAGAACATAACAGAAGCCCATGTTGGATCAAAGCAATCCCAAATTTTATCTAGCTGTAGGGGTTTTTGTGTGTGTTGGGACTCTCCCTTCCTTCCATTTCGTAGCTATTGCCAGTTTGGCCGCTCTGAGTAAGATGATTATCAAGCGTTTTTGAACCCGTGGAATCTAGTCCTCTCCCCCAAAGATTTAGGAGTTGACAGGCTGCTGAGAGGCGTATCTCCAGATCGAGGCAAGGGGGACTTCCTTCCACGCTGTCCTCTTCCTCGGAAGCCCTTTCCTCACCGTCCCCCTCCTCTTCCTTTTTTCTCTTGCAGCCGGAAGGAGGACGCCGTCTGGCGAGTGAAACACGCGACTGAACTTGCGAAAAGTATAGCGCTCGGAAAGAAGGTCCCCGAACAAAGTGAGTGGAAGCATATTGCGTGGAAACGCATCGTAGGCAATGTTCCCTCTAAGCCGTGGAGTCTCATGAGCAAAAATTCTACTTTGTGAGCTACTAGCATTAAAGTTGTGAGCGAGCAATTTGGCTACTGAATAAATCAGTTTGCTCTGGAGCCCTCCTTCCTGAGCTAAGATAAAAATGTGTGAGCTGGAGGCTAAAAAACTGTGAGCTAGCTCACACTAACTCAGCTTAGAGGGAACACTGATCGTAGTTCGTAATATGAAGAAGAATAGATCAAGACGGGTTACCGCGTTAGTCTGTCTGTAGCAGCAGAAAAGAGCGAGAGTCCAGGAGCATCTTAAAGACGAACAAAATCTGTGGCAGGGAGGTGCTTTTGTGAGTCACCTGCCTGCTTCTTCAGATACAGCTAGAATGTTGAGTCCGGCATTAGAAACCACAACATTAAAAAAAACAGTGGAGGGACGTTTTAACCTCCCAGGTGATTCAGTGGCAGGCCTAAGAGTAGCAGGAATTTCAAAGGGAAATAGAAAGAGAGAGTGCTGAACTGCAAGATGGGTAGCAGGCTAGTCTGTCTGCAACAGCAGAAAAGAGGAAGAAGAAGAAGAAGAGATTGGATTGATACCCCGCCCTTCACTACCCAAAGGTGTGTCTCAGAGTGGCTTACAAACTCCTTTCCCTTCCCCTCCCCACAACAGACGCCCTGTGAGGTAGGTGGGGCTGAGAGAGCTCTGACAGAAACTGCTCTTTTTTTCAAGAACAGCTGTGCCAGAATTATGGCTTGCCCAAGGTCATCCAGCAGGTGAAAGTGGAGGAGTAGGGAATCAAACCCGGTCCCCCCAGATTAGAGGAAAATTCCAGTAGCACCTTAAAGACTAACAAAACCAGTAGCAGGGTATGAGCTTTGATGAGTCACTGCTCACTTCTTCAGATACTACAAAATGGGTCGCTGTGTCAGTCAGTCCGTAGCAGCAGAAAAGAAGAAGAGAAGAGATTGGAGTCCTACCCCGCCCTTCACTACCCAAAGGTGTCTCAGAGCGGCTTACAAACTCCTTTCCCTTCCCCTCCCCACAGCAGACACCCTGTGATATATACTGGCAAGTGGAGTGATTTCAGATACTGAATGACATTAGCAGGCAGATGAAAAATCTGATATCACTCTACCTAATCTATAAGGCCGATGGACTCCCGTTCTAGCTGAATCTGCAGAGGTGAGCCGTGACTCGTGAAAGCTCCTCCCCTGCCATAAATGTTGTTAGTCTTTAAGTTGCTCCTGGACTCTTGTTATTTTCTACTGAAGAAGAATAGTTTGCTTAAGCGTTTACCTACTTATTGCAGGCATTTGCACATGGCTATTCCTCTACAGCTCAAAGTGAATACGTTTTATTTATATGTTTGGGGTACTTTATATACTCGTCTTTCAACCCGGTTCTCCCTGATTAGAGTCCGCGCACTTAACCATTATACCAAACTGGCTCTCAAGAGTCCAGTGGTAGCACCTTAAAGACTAACATTTGTGGCAGGGGAGGAGCTTTCGTGAGTCACTGCTCACTTCTTCAGATACAGCGAGAAAGTGAGTTCCTGTCTATATATTGGCAAGTGGAGTGATTTCAGATACCGAATGACATTAGCAGGCAAATAACAAATCTGAAATCACTCTACTTAATATATAAGACAGACGGACTCCCTTTCTAGCTGTATCTGAAGACGTGAGCCGTGACTCACTAAAGCTCATCCCCTGCCCCCAATTTTGTCAGTCTTTAAGGTACTCCTGGACTTTTGCTCTTTTCTACTGAAGAAGAATAGTTTACTTAAGAGTTTACTTACTTATTGCAGGCATTTGCACCCTGCTTTTCATCTACAGCTCAAAGTGAATAAGTTTTATTTATATATTTGGGGTATTTTGTATAATCTTTTTCCTGATACGGTCAGGGTAGGTAAACAGCAATGTATGCTGTACAAAAATAATCAACACGCAACAACGTACAAAGAGCCATGCTGGATCAGACCAAAGGCCCACCAGGTACACCATTCAGGGGAGGGACTTTGGCTTGTTGGTAGAGCCTCTGCTTGGCGTGTAGAAAGTTCCGGGTTCAGTTGCGTATAAGGCAGCTCTGTGTGTTCATTTTGTTTGGACCGTGGCTGTCCAGCTGCCTCTAGGAAGCCCACGGCAACAGTATCCTCCCGCCCTTTCTCCCCAGCAGCTGACGTAGATAGCCATCCTGCCTCTCTTACTGGCGGGAGCAGGGATCAATCCCGACTAGTCGCTCGGGTTGGGAAACACCTGAGATTTTGGGGGTGGAGCCTGAGGAGGGGCGGGGCTTGGGGAGGCGAGGGGAGGGGCTCCGGGGGGGTATTGGCATGGCACCCTCAAAAATCTCCCAGCATTTGCCAAGGCAGTGCTGGCAGCCTTAACCTGAACGGCATCTCAAGTTGGACCTGGAAACAAATAGGCAGCCCGCAAAGGGACTCCGGGAGAAGCAGAACGTGGTACCGGCCGGTGGTCTCTGATAACAGATCAGCTGCCGCATTTTGCACTAGCTGAAGTCTGCAAGTTGTCTTCAAGGGCTGCTCATAATGAGCGTGTTAGAGTAATCTAGCTTAGAGATTTACCATAGCATGGATCGTTGTGGCCAGATCAGACTTCTAGGGAAACAGGGTCAAACTACGTGCAGCTAATAGATGCTAGTTCCGCAGGGCCTGCAAGACGGAGCTCTTCCGCCAGGCTTCAGAGTTGGTCTTTTGGAGAGAGAAAGTCTCTCCTTGTTTTCTCTGGGTTTTCTTCTTTTTGTGCACTCGATGCACGCAGGGCTTTTGGCGGGGGGGGCGGGTTCAGTTTGGCGCCCCTAAGGGCCGTCACGCTCTAGGCGAATGCCTTGTTCGCCTAGTGAGGGAGCCAGCCCTGGGTCTGAGTAGACAATACTGACCTTGATGCATTGATGGTCCGATTTAGTATAAGGCAGCTCCGTGTGTTCATTTTGTTTGCACAGTGGCTGTCCAGCTGCTTCTAGGAAGCCCACGGCAACAGTATCCTCCCGCCCCACAACCCTGTCGTCCGCTAGGGACGTCCCGCTCCCCCCGATGATACCCGCACCAGCGGTGGTAGAGTGCGGTGAAGGAAAGGCGTTGATGGAATAATGGTGGCGGCGGCTCCTACTCAAAAGCCTGGCGGAAGAGCTCCGTTTTACAGGCCCTACGGAACTGTACAAGGTCCTGCAGGGCCCAGATCTCCTCTGGGAGCTCATTCCACCAGGTAGGAGCTGCCACCGAAAACACCCTGGCCCTGGTCGTAGAGAGTTTGATGGTATCCCCGACCGTAGTGCCCTTGGGGGATCATGCGGGGAAATGTGTGGTTTTTTAGAAAATGGAATCCTGGGTCCCATAAGAGCGTAACTGTGTTGGTCCGCAGTAGAGCAGCTAGATTGGAAGCCGGTAGCACCTTAGAGACCAGCAAGATTTTGGGGATATAAGAAGAGGAGGAGGAGATTGGATTTATACCCCGCCCTTCACTCGGAGTCTCAGAGCGGCTTACAAACTCCTTTCCCTTCCCCACAACTGACACCCTGTGAGGTGGGTGGGGCTGAGAGAGCTCTCTCTCTCGAGGACTGCCCATGAGAGGACAGCGCTGAGAGAACTTGTGACTCACCAGCTTGAAAGTTTATACCCCCAAAATCTTGCTGGTCTCTGCTACCAGACTCGAATCTAGCTGGGTCTAATACAGGGGTGGCCTGTATATTAACTGTGGTTCGGGAGCCGCATGTGGCTCTTTTGCACATATTGTGTGGCTCCTGGCAGGGCAGCTGCGGAAGCTAAACATCATTAGCAAACAAGTATCATTGAACAAATAAACATCATCAATATCTGCTGTTACCCCTTTTTGTTATTGTTCTTGGCAGTCTCGTTTAACGTTAACAAAAGGCAAATTTGCATGTTTTCCATTAAAACATGTAATATCTGATCATGTCTTGCGGCTCTCGAACATCTGATGTTTGTTCTATGTGGCTCTTAGCAAGTGTGGCCTCCCCTGGTCTAATAAGTCTTCCAGGCTTTCGTCTGAGTAACAAATTTGGATGACTACTGTAGGCAACGGCAAATCGAAAACAGATTTAACTGACTTGGATCTAAGATGCCTTGAATCAGACCTAATTGACGTAGCGCTCAGTGTAGGGGTGAAGTCAGCATGGGCGCACCTCTGACTTTTGGGTTTTATTGTCTTGTTCAGTTGTCTGGTTCAATTGTCTTGTGCAATTGTTCAGGAAGCCGGTCTGAGTTCGTTGTTCGTCACCTGTCTCCATGTCCCATTTTTTTGTTTGTCGTTCGTCACCTGTCTCCATGTCCCATTTGATGTCGCTTTGTGTTGCAGGCCCTGCGGGATCTTCTGCAGTTCCGCAGGGCCTGCAAGACGGAGCTCTTCCGCCAGGCTTTCGAGTAGGAGCCGCCGCCCCTACTATACCACCACCGCCCTGAGGTCCCGATTAAACATCTATTATGGAAGAATCCTTCTGCCGTCTTCATGGGATTTTTGGACATTCGATCCGCCCTTTTTAGTATGAATGGCACTGAGCACTTTGTTATTAGATTTTAATATGTAGTGTATGTTTTAAATTGTTCTGTATATATTGTTTTATCATGGCAAGTTGTTCTTGCTTCTGTGAGCTGCCCTGAGCCCATTGGGGAGGGCAGGGTATAAGTACGAAAAATAAATAAATAAATATTTTTGTTTCATATGCAGAAAAGCAGCAGTCCAGAGTCTTGACACGCATAAGCTTTGATCTACCAAGAAGCCACAGGAGACTCAACCCTAGCCAAAACCGTGCCATTTTTGAGGCTCTGAGGAAGCCGTTTACGCTCATCCAAGGGCCTCCAGGTGAGATGAGAGCACGGGTGGAGAATTAATGGGCAGTGGGCCATGGGGTCGTTAACTCTGCTCCAGTTATGGTCTGTCCTTGTTTTAAAAACAAGGTGCAAAATTACAACGAGGTATATAAAAAATCGGGGCGTATTGTAGACTGTAAACTTAAAACATTGCCTGAGTCCAGATAATGTGCAGTTCCGCAGGGCCTGCAAGACGGAGCTCTTCCGCCAGGCTTATGAGTAGGAGCCGCCGCCACCACTACCCCACCACTGCGGTGGTTTACCTTGTTTGTTGTCAAAACCCAGGGCTTTTTTGTAGCAGGAACTCCTTTGCATGTTAGGCCACACACCCCTAATGTAGCCAATCCTAATGAGTTTCTGCCGTTGGGTGTGGCCTATTATGCTAATGAGTTCCTGCTGGGCATGGCCAACTTGGGAGCCAGCCGGAACTCCGTTCCTGTGCGTTCCTGCCCAAAAATAGCCCTGGCAGTACCTCTGCTGGACCTCTGCCAACTCTTCTCTCGCCCTCTGTATGCCTCTATTTTGGATATATTTTTTAAAACAAATTTTATTTTATTTTCCAAATGCTGGATATTTTTTTTAAAACAAATTTTATTTTATTTTCCAAATGTAACCTATAACAGTGAGAAAACATAACAGTATTACATTGCCCAAAATAAAATAGGAATTGGTTTGTTCATACGATCGACTAGCCTTAAACGAAAACACATATCATCAGCCTATGCACTGGTTACTGACCTTAGTATGTTGACAGCTACTGAAGCAATATTGTCAGAAACAGAGCCAGTGTTTGTCTTTAACAAATGAGGGGGGAACCACTTCTTTATCTCTGAAAGAAACTGAATTCTTCACAAAAGGCGTTTGATCGTCTTCTTCTTTTTTTTTTATTAAAATTTTTATTTTCGGTTTTACATATCAGACATTCCATCAGTATTCCTTATATAAATAGTAGAGTCATTAAGCCTTTAACAAATCTTCTAACCATTTATACACCTTCTGCCATCTCTTCGCATGTACCTTCTCATTTTGGTTTCGTAAAGTCAAACTCAAATTATCCATTTGTGCCAGTTCTAATATTTTCAACGTTAGTTCTTCTCCAGAGGGTATTATTTCAGATTTCCAATTTTTAGCCAATAATAGTTGAGCAGCAGTTATCATATAAACTAGTAAATATGATTCTTGCACATTATAACCATCTGGGATTATATTTAACAGATACATTTCTGGTTTTAGTGCTAATTTTTTCCCCCAGGATTTCCGGAATCATCTTCCCCACCATTTTCCAATAACCTTGTATTTTACTACATCTCCACCACGTATGGCGTTAGATCGTCTTCGATGGAATGATGAGCTATTCCGTTTGCTATTTCCCCCCATAATAAGAACATAAGAACATAAGAGACGCCAATGTTGGATCAGGCCAAAGGCCCATCCAGTCCAACACTCTGTGTCACACAGTGGCCAGAAATACCAGGTGCCCTCAGGAGGTCCAGCAGTGGGGCCAGGACATTAGAAGCCCTCCCCTATTTCCCCCCATAATGAGCTGCATCCAAAGTTTGTCGTACCACAAATCCGTGTGTGTGTGTGTGTGTGTCGTGAGTTTGATTCCCGCCTAGCAGCAATGACGAGTCTTGTCTGCTGCAATTAGTATGGGAATTATTTCTCTCGTTCGTTTTGGTGGAGAAGGATCCGGCCATATTTCACATTTCTAGCTGCCTTGAACCATCAGGAAAGGCGGGATGTAAATGTTTCAAATGAGTAAATAGCTTGGTTTTTACATTCCTTGAGAGATGTGCTTTTTTTCTCACTTTATTGTACCGTGTTTCCCCGAAAATAAGACACTATCTTATATTTATTTTTTCTCAAGAAGACACACTAGGGCTTATACCACAAATGCATAGAAATCCTGCTAGAGCTTATTTTTGGGGTAGGTCTTATTTTTGGGGAAACAGGGTAGCTATTTTCACCCTCCCTGACCTGGATTGCCCAGGCTAACCCGAACTTGATAGATCTTGGAAGCAAGTCTGGTTAGTATTTGGACGGGAGACCACCAAGGAACCCCAGGGTCACCACGCGGAGGCAGGCAATGGCAAACACCACCTCTGGACGCCTCTCCCCCACAGGGTCACTATAGGTTGGCTGTGACTGCACGGCGCTTTCCACCGCCAATTTCAAAAAACAAACACTTTTTCCTCCCCTCGTCTAGGGACCGGGAAAACCGTTGTCGGTTTCCACATCGTTTACTGGTTCCACCAGCTGAATCAGGAGACCAGGAGTACTGAAGTCAAGGAGGAAGCACAGAGCCACATTCTGTACTGCGGGCCCTCGAACAAGTCCGTCGATGTCGTTGCGGGTGAGTCTCCTTCCGCCGATGATGATGACGTCTGCTACAAGGGTCACTGCTGTAAGCATGACCCGAGATCAGCAGTCGAGAATATCCACAATACATAAGAACATAAGAGAAGCCAGTGTTGGATCAGGCCAGTGGTCCATCCAGTCCAACACTCTGTGTCACACAGTGGCCAGAAAAACCAGGGGCCATCAGGAGGTCCAGCAGTGGGGCCAGGACACTAGGACCCCTCCCCCTGTTGCCCCCCCCCCCAAGCACCAAGAAGACAGAGCATCACTTGCCCCAGAGCCCCTATCTATACCTTGTGGCTAAGAGCCACTGATGGACCTCTGCTCCATATGCTTATCCAATTCCCTCTTGAAGCCGTCCCTGCTTGTAGCCGCCACCACCTCCTGTGGCAGGGAATTCCACATGTTAATCACTCTTTGGGGGAAGAAGGACTTCGTTTTATCCGTTCTAACTCGACTGCTCAGCAGTTTCATGGAGTGCCCACAAGGAGTTCTTGTATTGTGAGAAAGGGAGAAAAGGACTTCTTTCTTAACCTGCTGTATCCCATGCATAATATGCACTTGAAGCACAAAATGGATATTCTGTACAGAAAATACACAGTCAATAGTAATAATGAAATTAT